TAATAACAGTATACGATTACCATAAGAAAACCATGCTCACACCATAAGCAAAAACCATACGAGCACCATACTAAAACCACACGATGGCAATAACACCATATCAAGACCATTAGGAAAAACACATGCGACTACCATAGGACAGCCATACGACTACCGTAACAAAAACCCTGCGATGACCATAATGCAACCATACTATCATCATAAGGAAGTTATACGAGTACCAACAGACAAGCCATACCATGATCATAAGACAACCATACTTGGACCATAAGAGAACCGTACGGTTACCATACGAAAACCGTACGATTACCATACGAAAACCATGCGAATACCATAATACCATAAAAGGAAATCATACGATGATCATAAGAAAACCAAGCGATTACCATACGGAAGCCATATGAGAGAGAACGCGTTTCACGGGCGCTTGCCTTGGGAAGTTTCGACGGCGCGTTTCAAACCGGGGGGCGGCCCCCCCCACAACATTCGGCGCCGTCGATCAAAACCAGGAGGACTCCCCTTCCCCCCAAATCACCCCTCCTCCCGAACCCCCCCCACCCACCCCCCTCTCCCAGGGGGGGGGGGCATCCAGAACCCCCCCCCCTGGGCGCCGGCGCAGGCGCTGGCGGCCGCCAGCAGCGCCCACGGCTGGGACGCAGCGGCGATGACCAGAGGCAGCCCAGGGGGGAGGAGGGGGTGGTTGAACCCCCCCCCTCCCCCTTCCAGAGGGGGGGATCAAACCGCCCCCCCCCTCGGTGCCGGCGCTGACGGCGGCCAGCAGCGCCGGCGCTGGCGCCGGCGACGGCGGGGACGCAGCGACGATTACCATCATTACCACCACCACCACTACCACCACCACCACCGCCTCAACACACCACCACCACTACCAACAGCACCACACAACCACCACCAACACCACCACCACAGCCACCACCACCACAACCACCACCGCAACTCACCATTACCACTACCACCACCACAAAAACTGACCACCACTACCACCACCACAATCTACCACACCACCACCACCACCGCAACAACCACCACCAGCACAACCCACCACCACCGCCACCACCGCCACCACTACCACAACAAACGTCTACAAACCACCGCCACCACCACAACCCACCAGCACCACCACCACCACAAACCACCATCACCACCACCACCACCACCACAAAAGCCCACCACCACTACCACCACCACCATCACAATCTACCACACCACCACCACCACCACCGCCACCACCACCGCCACTACCAGCAGCACAACCCGCCACCACCACCACAAACCACCACACCACTACTGCATCCACCGCCACCACCACCACCAAAAGCACCACCTCCACAAAGCACCGCCACAACCACAACCCACCACCACCACCACCACAAACCACCACCACACTTCCACCGCCACCACCACCGCCACCACCACAACCCACCACCACCACCACCACAAAACCTACCACCACCACCAAACCACCACCACCACCACCCACCGCCACAACCACCACCACCACAACAACCCACCACACCAGCACCACCACAACCACCCCACCGCCGCCACCACCACCACCACAACCCACCACCACCACCACCACCGTCCTCGTCAACGCTCCCCGCCACTGCCGCCCGCCGCCGCAGGCGCCGGCGCCGGCCAAGAAATGGAAGTCGTCGTCCCCGCCGCCGTCGCCAGCCGCCGCCGACCCAAGCGCAGCGCCGGCCCGAGGAGAGGGGAAGCAGGGGATGGTTCGCCTCCGTCACGAGAGGGGGGGGGGGGTCCGAAACCCTCCCCCCCATCCGTCACTGGAGGGAGGGGGGTGGAAGGGGTTCGAAACCCCCGGCCCCCCTTCCATTCAGGGAGGAGGCGGGGAGATCCGGTTACAACCCCACCCCCTCCAAGCGACCACAGAACGCGCTCTTTCGAATACAATAAGAAAACCGTGCGGTTGCCATAAGAAAACCATACGACTACCATAAGAAAGCCATACGGTTACCATGAGAAAGCCATACAGTTACCATACTACAACCATGCGATCACCATCAGAAAACATTACGATTATCGGAAGAGAACCATTCGGTTACCAGAAGACAACCATGCGACAACCGTAAGACAACCACGCGATTACCAACATAAAATCATACAAGTACAATATGAACATCGTACGATCACCAAAAGACAACCATACGATGACCATGAGAAAACCATACCCTTACCATGAGACAACCGCACGATTACCATCATACTACCATACCATGAACATCAGCTCCCCCCATCCCCCCAACAAGAAAACATCATAATCCCATAATAAAGCCATACGGCTACCGAAAGAAAACCAGCGAATACCTTAATCAAGCCATACCTCATATCATAAGAAGACTACGATTACCATAAGAAAAACAAAACCATACCATGGCCATAAGACAACCATTCTCTTACCATAAGACAGCCATGCCACTAGCATGAGAAAACCTGCCATGACCATAAGACAACCGTACCA